TGGGGCCTCCTCAGTTTCTGGATGGGCATGGGAGCCATTTGAAAGCAGCCCCCTCCCCAAAGGACCAGCGTCCTGCGTGGTGTTTCGGAAGTCTTTGGCCAGAGAGAGAGGAAAGGCCTGGCCCCCCCTCCCCCCCCCCACAGCAGCCGAGGTTCCTCTTTTGGTTTGATTTTGAAAGAGGCTCAGCGCCTGGAGTAAAATATTGGCTCAGACAATAAATCTTGGCTAAAGAAACACGCTCTGGGCTTGACCTCCCTTGGTTTAGGCCAAGGATCCCCAGAGCAGAAGGAAGGAAAGGAAGGAAGGAAGGAAGGAAGGAAGGAAGGAAGGAAGGAAGGAAGGAAGGAAGGAAGGAAAGCAAGGCAGGAGGGAGGGAAGGAAAGGAGGGAGGGAGGGAGGGAGGGGAGCCCTCTGAAGGGGCCCTTGGGGTTTTGGGGTGAGGTAAGGAAGGAGAGGGATCTGTTTCTGGCTTCCCTTCTTTTGCAGAGGACAATTGGATCACAGCTGATCCCACTGGCCTTTCATGGGGGCAGAAAGCCAACTCCTCTCCTTCCAATCTCCTTTTTCTCTGAGTTGCTTTCATCTGCCCCCCCCCCATTGCCTCAGACCCCTCCGGCGCCCTCTGGTGGCCCCTGGGCGTCCCGGAGCTCCTCTGTCACCTGTCACTCCCAGGACGGGCAAAACCAAGTCCCTGCTTGCTGACCGCAAGATTTAAAACCAAGCCAGAAGTGCCGGCTGTCTTCAGCAGCAGGTTGGAGCCGGTTTATCATGTGTTGATCAACGGAAACAGCCTTTTCCTTCTCCCCTCCTCTGACCCTCCTTAATTTGGGCCCCCCTGAATCCCTCAGCCAGGGACCCCCCCAAAGCACCCAACAGGAGCCCCCGTGGGGTGGGTGAGAGGAGGGGAGAAGGGCCGCCTTCCAGAGAGACCCACCCGATGCCTCTGCCCTGCTTCCCCCCCTCCTCAGCCAGCGTTTGATGCCCCCCCCACGACCCAGAAGAGCCCTGGGGGCCTCAAGACCAGTCAGGGGTCCCTAGGGAGAGACGACCTCCTCCAGGGTGGCTTCCAATCCCCTCAGTGGCTGCCCACCTGCCTTGCTCTTCTGTCCAGGGAGTTTCACAGGGAGGGCGCATTCTGCCTCTCCACACCCCCCCCCCATGTGTGTGTGTGTGTGTGTGTGTACCTGGAGCCTCTCTCCCGTGCAGGTAGTGCTTGACTGAAGGCCCCCCCCTCCCCCCATCGGAATTCCTCCTGCTGAGGCAGGAGGCGCCTGGGAGGGCCCCCCCTCATTGTGCAGCCTTTTCCCTCCGTGGTTGTTAGGGGAATCTCTGGAGTCCTTAAGTGGACCTGGCTTCCCGCATGAACGTGGCTTGTCACAAGGCCACAAGTGGCCACCACTCCCAAGCGCCTCCGAGGTTGGCAGCCCCTCCTCCTCCTGTTGCCCGGGGCATTTGTTGGCATGAAGCAAGGCGGGAGGGGAAGGAAGTCCCAGCCTCCTTGCTCAGAGGGGACGGCAGGCAGGCGGAGGGTGGACCGGGGGGGGGGGGAGAAAAGCAGCCTCCTCTCAGAAGTGAGCAGCATCGGAGGCCACGGGGGGCACGGAAGAAGCTCTCAGCCCTGCAGCCAAGGAGAAGCCCCCCTCTCCCTCCCCTGGATCTCAGCCTGGGAAAGCAGGTGTGTGTTGTGGGGGTTGGGGGTGGATAAAGGCTCCCCAAGGCCTTCAGAGCAGGAGGAGGATTGAGGAAGGGTCTGGGTTTCAATCCTCGGGGATTCAAATGAAGGTATTTCTTGCCCTGCTGGGCACGATGGGCTTGGGAATCCAGGCCTTTGGAAGCGCCACTCGCTTTGTTACTCCCGCCTGAAATCGGGGGAAGGAAAGAGGGTGAGATTCTCAGGTGTGACAGAATTGGGATATCTCACCGTTCTAGTCCTCAGTAAGGTCTGTGCCCGGGCCATTGGCTGCTGCCGGCTGGGAGAAGAGAACCATAGCAGACGGCCGAAACTGTTGGTGGATGAAAGCAAAGTCGGAGAAGGGGAGCAGGGGAAGATAGAGGTCAGCATGGCCAAATGAAATTTTCCTTCGTTTTTGGCCAAGCATCTTCCGTGCAGGCCTTCCCCCCCCCCCCCCGTCTCCCTTTCACTTTATGGGAAGTTTTACAGGGACATTTTTTCCTTGTAGGGAAGGAAAGAGTCGTGTCAGGAGCAGTTAAACAGTCACTCGTTCCAGTTCTGGAATCTCTTGAACATTAACTAGGAAAGAGGGGACGGGATCGCCCTTCAGCCTGACTCGGCCTGAGCCCGCGGGAAAGAGAGAGGTGAGCCGAATGGGGCCCCTCCGATGGCCCTCAGCCAGGCCAGCTGGGACTCTGGACTCCACCGCCCTGGGCTCCTTCTAGCCGGAGTCCCCTCAGCAACCCTGCCCTGCATAAACCCAGGAGAAATCTGGGGGGGGGGGGGGAGGGAGGGGTGTTTGGTTTTCCAATGGTGGCCTTCCAATTCCTGCAGGTCCAGCAAAGAGCGGATTCGGCATATCTAATGTAGAGAAATGCATTCCTATCCAGGGGTGGCAGAGAGCCAGGAAGAAGCCCTGAGGCAGAGAGAGGAGAATGGGGGGGGTGTCTCCCCGTGTGGGGAGGGTTACCTGGAACGGTGCATTGGTGACTCTTTCGGCTAATAGGCTAATCCCACCTTTCTTCAAAGGCTAATGAGGAAGCCTGGGGATGGCTGGGTGGCCACGCTACTTTTACACGTATTAACCGAGGGAAGAGCAAACGGCCCTGGGAATCTTGCCGGCTCTTACAGCCTCCACCAGAATCTCCGAAGCAGAGCCGGGTTGGTCCTGCCCAGCCGGCCCTTCCCAGCAAGGAGGATGCGGTGCCCTTCCTCTCCTCCCCGGAAGTCTCGCCTGGGCAGAGAGATCAGGGCACCTGGGGCGGTGCAGCGTCTCTCTCTCTCCCTGCGCACTGCGGCCGGCTACCCTCACCGGCTCCTCTTGGCCGGAGCTGCTTGGAAGCGGCAAAGACTGGTCCTTCCCCTCCCTCCCTCCCCTCGCTCCCCTCCCTTTCCACGCCCCACTGCTTCGCTTCCCCCACCGGCCCCTTGCAGGGAATCCCTGGAGAGCTTTGCCAGCTCAGCCCTCCCACCAGCTCTCCTTGGCATCCGGAGAAGGATGGCAGCTCTGGCACGGCTGCTGCTGCTGGTCTTTCGCTACGGCTGAGTTGGCAAAGCCTGGCGGCTACCTGAGCCCCAGAAGCAGGGAGAGAAATCCCACCCTGCTTTTGTCGTCCTCCAGCAGCCAGAATTGAGGCTGGGGGCTGAGGAGGGCCGGGAGGCTGGCAGCAGGGGTGGGGAGCGGTGAGAAGGCGGCCAGGGACGATGCCCACCCACCGCCTTGGCGAGGCGAACGAGGGGTGACTTTCCTTCCAGTGAAGGGGGGCGCAGAGAGTGGGCGACCCCCCCTCCAGAAAGGTTCCCAACCAAAGCTGGAAACCTTTGGGGGGGGGCACCGAAGGGCTCCTGTGCCGAAGCTCCCCGCTGACACGCCAAGGGGGGCCCCTTTCCACAGGAGGCCCCGTCACCTCCGATGCTGCTGGGAGAGGGAAATCTCACGGCCCCCTGTCTCCTTCCCTTCCCCCGGTGCCATCGAGGGTAGGGGGAGCTCCAGGCCATGGCGCACGAGCAGCGGGGCAGCCCCAGCCTCCATCCGGAGGGGCTTCAGCGCCTTTTGGCCGCCTGCCAAGAAGCCAAGCGGTTCGCCTACTGCCCCTACAGCAAGTACCCCGTGGGAGCAGCCCTCCTGACCGCCGAGGGGAAGATCTTCACAGGTGAGGAGGCCGAGAGCCCCGTGGGCCGCCTTGTGGGGGTGGCAAGCAAAACAGGGGCAGCCCCCCCTCCCCCCCGCAAAGCCCAGGGTTCACCCTGAGGGCAGAGGCTGGGTGAGTCAGCTGCACCCGCCCTGCTCTTCATGCCCAAGGTGCCACGGTGGCATCAGGGAAAGCTGCAGCAGGAGCCCTGGCTGGCGAGGGATGCTTGGCTGCGTCTGGAGGGCTCCGGGCCAAGCGTTGCTCTCCCTGGGGGGATCCTGGATTCCCCAGCCGGCATGGCTGCTGCCTGAGCCCAGGAGGACCCGGCTGAGCGACCGTTTCCGCGGCCTGTTCTAAAACGCCCTCGATGGCGCTTTCGCCCCTCCCAGGTTGCAACGTTGAGAACGCCTCTTTCCCGCTGGGCGTCTGTGCCGAGCGGACGGCCATCCAGAAGGCCGTGTCCGAAGGCCACACCAAATTCCGAGCCATGGCCATCAGTTGGTAGGTGGGCCGCGTCCTCCTCCTCCTTTTCCCGCTGAGCAGGGTGGAGTCCCGGGAAGGCCCGGAGCATCCCTTGGAGTGTGGGGGGGGGGCGGCTCAGAGGGTCCTGCAAACCCCAGTCATTCGGTTTGCTGCAGATTCGGTTCGTTTTCCAAGCCAAAACCTGGGTTAAGAGGGTAAAGGTGCCAAGGCAGGCCTGACCTTAACCCAGTTTGGGATGTCTTCCCTTCCAAGTTTCAGCCAGATAATTTTATATCCCCTCCTTCTTTTAACAGCAACAGCCGAGAGTCCTACGCCCTTCCGTGTGGAGCCTGCAGGCAGGTCCTCCGAGAGGTAAAAACGCCTTAACCCGCCTTCCTCCTAAGAAGACAAAGAAACTGCTTTTTTTTGAACTGTTTTCCTTTCATCCAGAAGTGCTTTTTTATGTCCCTGTTAAGTCCCCCCCCCCCCTCTTGTGTCCTGTTCATCCCATCTGGCACCTTCTCTTGCAGCCGTTGGCTTAGTTCGGCCTTTCCAGAGGGATCTGCTTGGCTTCTGCAGCCACTGAGAAATGCTGATCTTTGCTTAAACTGAGCAGGTTTTGGGGGTTTTTATTTGCAAAGGGTAAAATTCTTCAAAGGTTTGTTAGGTTTACCGCTTTCAAACTATGGCCAAAAGGCTGCTGGCAAGTGCCCCCCCCCCCC